CGCAAAACAACATTTTGATTTCTTTTTCCCAAAGTGTCGGTGAACCATGTTTTTTAGCCTTACCAGTCATGTTACTACTACGATGAAGCAAAGAAATGAAACACAATAATATCATATTCAATTAAAAAAATAATTAAAGGAAGCATAAAAATGAAAAAAGGACAATTTAACGTGGTTCGGTCAACATGACCTATATCCACAGCAAAGGAGGCCAACAACTTTATTATAGCATCAAAGAAGAAGGGACAATTTAACGTGGTTCGGTCAACATGACCTATATCCACAGCAAAGGAGGCCAACAACTTTATTATAGCATCAAAGAAGAAGAAACAAAGCTTTGATTCATACAGTACTCCCTCCCAGAAGCACAAAAAAATAAGCAACATATAGAAACCAAATGCTGTCATGATGGATCTCATCCCAGGAATCTGGCATAATAGAAGCATCATACATTACTCCCATAATGATTCATACATTACTCCCCCCCACGCACCCCTTCAAAACCGGCAGCATATCCAATAAACAGGTAACCCGAAGCAAAAAAAAAATGTTAATGTTGCGAGGACCACTGCCAGCTTGCCAAGTACTGGAGCAATGCAAAACAAGTAAGGTGTAAAGATAACATAGAAATATTACTATCACAATTGCTTACGGGGTCAACCCAAGTTTTCTGTAATGCCCGATTTAAAAAAAAAAACAAGTTATCCATAATTTCCAAGATATAACTTTAGCTGATCAAAGTAAAGGAAGGCTGCCGAATTTCTGAAGGTTCAGCTTCACAATCGTAAAACCAAATAGTTAAAGAAATACATGATTGCAATTCGGGTAAGAGTTAAGAATATTGGGAGGAATGAATCCATTTATTTCATTCATAGAGTTAAGAGAAGTAGTATCAAATTTTCATCAACAGGTAAGATAAATAACGTGAATACCCTTTTTCGAATGGTACTTCCAAATGCTCAACAAGTACTTGCAAATCTTCCACAAACATGTAATGAAACATGGTTCATTTTGGGTAAGAGCAAAAAGAAAAAATTTATGGGTGCTTGCATTAAAAGGTGCTTCCAAATCTTCCTTTAACATGTAATGAAACGGGTGCTTGCAACTCTTCAACCACAAAACAATGTAATTAACCACTGCTGGCGTTCCAAAATTTCAAGCCAAACCAAATTTCGTCTAGTTACAGATCAACAAATAGGAAAGGAGGAAAAAATAAAAATGGCAAAAACAGAAAAGAGATGAGGAGAAAACATAAGGAGCCGCAAAACAACAATCTTCCATTAACAGGTGCTTCCGAGCCTTCAACCATCAAAACAATCTAATGAAATACCGCAAACATGCATATATTGGTGCGAAATCTGCAACTTGGATTGGCAATGCCAATTTGATCTCAAATCTAAATGTTCATTTCAGGTAAGAGTAAAATGAAGTAATTTTTCGTGTGCCAAAATATCTAGCTAAAGCAATATTTCTGGAGCCGCAAAAACCGCAAAAAGAAAAATGGCAGAAACAGGAATGAGATTAGGAATGAGATGAGAAGGAGAAAATGTCAGGAGCCGCAAAACCGCAAAAAAGACAATCTTCCATTAGCAGATGTTTGCACATCTTCAACCACAAAACAATCTAATGAAACACTGCATATATGCTTAGATGGGCACAAGATCTGCAACTTGGATAGACAATGCCAATTTGATCCCAAATCTAAGGGTTCGATTTGGGTAAGAATAAAATGAAGTAATTTTTTGTGTGCCAAAAGATCTACCTAAAGCCATACTTCGTTAATAAGCTATAGATCCACCACAGGAAATGAGGAGAAAAGAAAAATGACAGAAATAGGAAAGACATGAGAATGAGAAAACATCAGGAGCCGCAAAACGCATATTCTTCATCAGATCTGCAAATACAAGAAGAAAATAGTTTGTCTTACCTTAGCTCTGTCGATCGAAGGACGACGAAAGAGAAGGAGAAGGGGACGCGAGAGAAGCAGCGGGGAATCACCTAGGGTCGACGCGGGGTAAAGGGTAAAAATCTCGGTTGAAAGCGGGAGACACGGAGTTAATGTCGCGACCCGCTTTCGTTCGGCTTCCGCCGCATAAATGCCCGAAGTCGCGAACCAAAAGGATAAATTTCGCGAAAAGTTGTGGCAAATGATCGCACCGCACCTAAAAAGCACTCTCAAACAGACCCTCAGTCATCACTAGAGAAATGTAGTTTTTACGTCTCAAAATTTACCAAACAAATTGATCTATTTGGGCTTAACTTTAGATTTAGGTTTATATTTAGAAGTAGTCGATAGAAAAACACCCTTAATCAACGTTCCAAACTAATACATTGTAATAGTAGACTAGAACTTAGCCTAAGGGATTTCTTGTCTAACTTCCCTGTGGATCGATAATCGAGACTCCATTAGAGTCTTATATTACTTGAACAATACGTATACTTGTGTAGAACCTCTAGTATGTAAACTATAAATCAAATTCTAAATTGAATAACAATTTTATTTTGCACACTAGCCGCTAAAGAAACTTTGTCAAGTTTTTGACCAGAAAATTAAATAACTGTGAAACTGCGGGTCGGGTCACTATCATATATAGTACCCTTGGATGAGGGTGACCCAATCTGTTGTGTCAAAGCGTGGAGGAGAGTTGAGCTGCGAGAGCGATAGGATAAAGGCCTTTATTGGTTGGTCCACTGAGTAGAGTTTTCATTGTATTGAGATCCTATATAGAGAAACCAATAGGATGTAAGTTGATAGAATAGTGATTATCGTTAGCTAGTTTTGAAACAATAAGTTATGGGAGATATTAGGAACAAATAACAGAGGAGATAGGCAAAGCTTATGTAATGGGGTCAGCAAGAGGACATTTCCAGTGTGGGAAATTTCAGTTGCCTACCCATTACCTACTGTTACCTGTTCCAAGCCATTGTAAGTCGTGGGCTATTGAATGTTGTCAACATAGGGTGTTAGGTGTGTTGTGGCGCCAGTATCGAGAATCTGGTCATTGCTTTTGTTGCTGGTAGAAGTGTGAAGACTATAGTTGTCGGTTGTTGAGATGGTTTGTATTGTAGGTTGGTGCGGTGCAACAATGATCAGCAGTTTGGCCTTTCTTGTGGCAAATTTGGCAAGTGGAAGGAGTTTTGCGTAATTGATTGGTAAATGAGAGAAAAGATTTGGTGGTGGATGGAATCTGGGGATGAAATCTTGATTTCGATTGATTAATTCGGTTAATGAAATATAGAAGAGCGGCAGCCTGATTGGTTTTTAAAGATTCATTTTGAAGCTTGCTCTCCTCACTGTGAAGCAGTGAGAATAATTCCTCAAGGGCTATAGGTGTGGATTGAACATGAATAGCAGCCTTGATGCTTTAATAAAAGGGAGGTAGGCCATTTAAAATATATAGGATGATGTCCTCAGTATCAATATTGAAACCATAGATGGCTATGTTATCAACAAGTTGTTTAATAGTAGTGAGGTACTGGGGCATTGTTTGATTGCCCATTTGAATATGGTGCAATTCATTTTTGACTTGGATGACCCTCGAGTGATTGGTGGATTAAAATCTCTTTTTAAGAGTGAGTCAAATATCAGTTGTATGAGCAAGATGTAAAACATAGGGAAGAACGGAAGGAGAGATAGTGGTAAGAAGGGTTGTGGTCAAATTTTGATCCACAAGCTCCCAAAGAGTGTAGTCTGGGATGAGAGAGGAAGTACCAGAGGATTCTTGAATATACTTTGGGGAAGGAAGAATGGCAAAGTCAAGAATTTAACCAAAACCATTGGCAAGGATTAGTTTATGGATTTCGACCTTCCAAACCGAGTAATTCTCAAAGCTGAGAGGATTAATGCATATGCTTTTGATATGCTGCATTAAAAAGTTGAGAATGGGGGGTACTTGAATGTCCTTCCTTTTGTTGAGGAGCCCTTGAGAGGATGGAATGACATGGGTGTTGGGGGAAGAAGACAACTTCATGGAACAGAGCGAGGAAAAGACAGGAGGCTCTGATACCATATGAAAAAGAAGACGATAGAAAAGCTAATTTATTCATTCATAATTCTTTGCTTATTAGAGGTACAATATATAGCCAGTGGAATGGCAGACTTGTGAATACACAGAAGGACATAAGTATCATTTACACAGCTAAGAAAATATATATATAATGTCTTCCATTGAAGAAAACCCTTATCTCTGTTGCAGAGGTCGCAGCAGAGCAAAGAGGATCAACAATGTATAAAAACATAAACAGAAGATAAGTCTTCTTGAAAACATAAACATATGCTAAATATCAACAATGTAATTACTCATACCAAAACGCCGGCATTGATCCAAGAAAAAAGTTTATTTAATAAGAATCTAACCAAAACTTTAACAGAACAAGCCTGCCCTTCAAAGCACAGACTTCAATGGGGATCAATAGAATCTCAAGGTGGTGCCGGATAAGAAAAAAAGAACGGTAAATAAAAATGAAGGGGTTTTTACACATATAGAGGTGAAGTCCCCAAATAATGTTTATTACACATATAGGTCCCAAAAAAAAAAATCAAAATTGAGTTTGAGGCCTTCTGTTACGGAGTTTGCATCCGGTCTCCGCCTCCAGCCCAGCATCCCGCACCGCACCCCATACCAACCCCTTCAGTCTCTCTCTCAGCCGCAGAGGAGCTCGCCGATGCGGCGCAGAGGATCTCGCAGATGCGGCGCAGAGGAGCTCGCCCTGCGCCGCAGATGAGCACGCCAAGGCATAAACAAATCCTTTCTTTAACATTCCTCAATGAAGTTTTTCTTCTTTATTAGCAGATTTACTGATAAAAATTTCATCTTTCTCTGAAAGATTTGGAGAGACAGAACTGGGTTATTGGAATTCGAGGAAAAAGCGGAGCAGAGGGATTGGCGGACTAGGAGAAGAGCATCAACAGAGCAAGACCCCATCAGGACACTAGAGGTTGATACTGGATCAAGGCACCACCAAGCTTCTTTATCTCCATCAACTCTAAATGGACTTACCAGCCGCCGCCGATGATTTACTTGCATCCCTCGCCCGACTGCCCGCTCCTCTGGGTTACTCCTTACGTTCTCTGATGTCGCGCTGTGCTCTAAACTGTTAGGGTTAGATTGTTTCATGATATGTACTTGTAGTATTAGTTTTATTGTAATTTGTCAATTTTACCCTTAGCTTTTATTACAAGTATGCCACATTGTACATTGTATATACAGACTTTTGTAATAGGATGCTATGTAAGAAAAGCAAGTTTATCTTCACTATTATTCTTTCCCTTCCTCTGTCCATTGCATGATTCTATTATCGTATCAAAGCAAGTTCGTTCCTAACAACCTTCAAGAATCATGGATTTCATCTCTTCCGACCCTTCCCACCTCATCAATGCCTCTCAAGATTCTGGTCGCAAAATGAATGACATTTTTATCCCTCCCCTACTAAAGTTTCTAATGCAAAATATAAAAAGCATAGCTAATTGTTTCCGTTCATTTTTCTCTTTTTTATTTTAAAAGGAGTCGTCAGCTTGTCGATCGTCGTATACTTCTCTTATTCGAATAAATCTCCCTCCCGATCCCTCCCGAATCAAATTAATTATTCAAAGAGGAGAGAAACCAAATAAAAAGAGACATACGACAAAGAGACAAACAAAAGAAAAAGTAAAACGTGGAGTTTACGTACGATAAACCTCGCAATGATAGGTCAAGTTTGTCCGCCCAAACAAGATCGGGCGGAGACACCTTAAACCAATATCCACGAAAGAAGTATCTACGTAGACTACCCATAACCAGAGAGTCAGGTGTATGTACCTGTTCTGGGGTCAAGAGCACTCCTAGAGGTACGTGTTCCTACTGGTTAATTACATCATGGGGTATATACCCAAGAATACTCTTGATAAAGGAGTTTCGCTTCGTATTATCATAAACCTGGGGTATAGACAATCAAAGAAAGATTATTCCATGTGGGAACAGTCCCGATGTTTCAAAGCTCACGCTAATGCTAAGCCACCGTACAGAGAGTGAGTCTTTCACATCCAAAGTGGGCAGCGGCTAATCGGCACACGGGTCCCACGAATAACCTAAATCATCTTGACGGGGATATCCCAACACGTCAAAGCACGTCCAGGCCATAAGGGCAGAGGACAAATCGTCGTGTCCCAAATGAGCAGTCGCTCATCAGTATCGGGCCGTCAAGATGATACCAACGAAGACAATAAGCAATAAAGCTCAAAGGGGCTCAACAAAAAGAAAGGTAGAGTGATCCTAAAATGTAGAAGTAACTGGTTTGGGGTACCACAGACCCGTCATCCACAGCTACTAGGACCCTAAGTCTACCTGGTAGTGAAGATAGTCGACCCAACACGTCCTGAGATCCCCGATCAACAATCTATGAATTGTGTCATCCATAGAAACTCGGTAGCCCTAAGGTCAAAGAAGTGAAACTTTATCCTATGACTAAAAGCTGAAGCTCCAAGAGGTGGGACTTATACGAGCTGAAGTAGCAAGGATGCCTCAGGAAAGAAAAGAAAGTGGAGGTTCAGCTACAAAGCTGGAAACGCTCCAAACAAAAGGACTTATGCCCCTGTCTGGGTCGGGGAGATTTTTAACACCTTAAGCGCACTAGATAACCATCTATATAAATGTATGTTGGGACAATCAGGTTGGAGAAGCATGGGGACTCCTCCTTGGGACATGCAAATATAATGCAGTTATCTAGAGCGGTCCCAAGTATTGTGGAGGCCCTATTAATATATGTCGGAAAACAAATGTTGCAATTTTTAAATCCTGAATATTTTAATCCAAAATTTTAATTATCTTAAATATTTTATTTAGGATTTTTAAGTATAAAAATGAGGATTTTAAGTCATAATGAGTCTATGTTTCAGCGTGAAATCCCATATAAACCACAGAAATAAATAAAAAAAACACATACAAGTGCAAACATGCAACATGATGCAAACGACAAAATAAGACAAATCAAAATAATAAATAGACCGGTGTCGCTAGGTCGGCAACATATCTCAGAAAAGACAAAGGCAATCGGACTCCGCATATACATGCATGGTCCTAATTCTATACATCAATATAAAATACAAAATTAAGATGCAAGTCAGGAGCATTGCTCCTAGTCCCCTCCGCATCGTTCCCGTGTGAAACATCCCAGAACTCGTGCCCGTATCTTATTTCTGATACAGGACTCTCCTAGACTCTAGAAAGTACATAGAAAAAGGAAAAAAAACTCAATATTGTATGAAAACAAGTGTCAGCGGGAAAGCTCACATGCAAATAACCTATCATGAGCCATGCCTTAAAAATGGGGGATCTAATAGCATCTGCAAGCAAAAGGGTCAGGAATCATTATTTTCTCCCTCCATAGCGGTACATCAGAACTATACCTGTGTATGTGCATATAAATAGGCATGGCTCCTTGCAGAAAAATGCTCTAACACACTACCTTACATATGCAACATGCACTCACACCAGAAGTGCAATGCAAAAGAAAGATGTCTGACTAGGGCAACCAATCCAGCAGAGAACAATAACAAGACATCAAAAAGACTACCTAGCACCATAAATTGTAGCCTAGCACACCATCTAACGAAAAGTGTGTCAACCTACTATCTAAGTGCGGGGTAAGTCTTGGCATAATATGACTTTGGCGGGGTCATCATACCGGCCCCATCCCAAAAATACAAAGGATCTAAAGGGTGTCAGGAAGAGTGGTGACCGAGTTAGATCGATTAGATCTTTAGCACACTAATACTCGTGTTAATCCTGATGACTTAACTCGCATTGCTCCTAGGGATCAACCCAACAAGCATTGCTCATTAAGGCATCGCGATGAACACGGGGTCACTCACCTAACGAGCCTAGCTCGCTATCCATGTCAACATGCAAATGCAAGCAAATCAAAACATATAAATAATGATAAAGAGTATGTCGTGAATGCAGTGACTCGTAGAAATGGGCATGTCGTGGCGGCAGGGGCCTCAAAAGAGGGTATACCTGTAAGGCAGTGACTCGAAGGTGGGCATGCCGTGACGGCAGTGGCCCGAAAAGAGGGGATGTCGATAAGGCAGTGACCCGAAGAAATGCAACACAAGAAAATGATAATGATCATTCAAGTTAACACATACAAGATGCAACATGCAAACAGACAAGCATGTGATATAATGCAAAAGCAAACAAACATGCAAGTGATTGGTCGACCAAATCGTTGTGGCCGATCGAACCAAAAGTGAGACGCTCACCGGGCTACGGCGACTGATTGGGGCTGAGCAAAATGCTCGTTAGGTCGGGGTAGCTGATCGGAGCGAAGTAAGATTCTCACTGGACTGGGGCAGCCGATCGGAGCAAAGTGATATGCTCACAGGGCCGGGTGGCCGGTGGAAGCGAAGTGAAATTCAACATGCACCAAGAAAAAATGCAATATGCAGCAAACCAACATACAGATAGCAAACTAGGTTCGTACTAACGACCTCACCTGTGAAACCTAAGGTTTAGACCCTTGGATATGCGAAATCACCTCCTCTTGCTCTGGTGAGGAAATGTGGGGATTTTCTCCCAGGATCTCCACGGGGGAGACTCTCTACGGCGTCACGAAATGGGCTAGCTACAAAGTTTTTCCCATTTCGTAGACTCCTCCAGACTTTGCAAAGCAAGACAGCTACAAAGTTTCTCTCGTGTTGCCAAGTCCAACCTCCCAGCTTCTCCAAGTAAAGCTGAGGAATCCAAATCAAAGGGAGTGAGGGACTCTGACCCATCAGGACTTGTGCTAAGACTCACAATAAAAGGGAGACACTCGGCTCTACAAAGGGTGTTTGGTCACGCACAGGAAGTCCTAACCTAAAGGCTAGCTTTAGGAAAACCAATGATCCATCACGCAGGCACGTCGTCGAGCCGACCCACGCCGGCGCACGCACCTTGTGTGGGTGATCGAACCCACACGCCTAAACACCAATAAACCTAGGGCTAGTTAAAAGTTTAGGGGATTTCACCACCGCAAAGGTTGCTGGCTCGTTTTCTTTTCTTGCTCCAAGCTGTTGCGTCCGGTTCATGCACCGACGTGCCTCTCAATGAACCATGCAATGAGGGAGAAGAAACATAGAGGTTGTAAGGGCAAGAGAGACAAGAATCAGTGAGTGAGGTATCTTAAGTACCAAAAAAATAACTAATTTTAGCATATGAAATATGACCAAAACGTATCTTTAAAAGGAGGGGTTGAATGCCGAATTTTGCATTGCAACACTATCACTGCCCCGCAAGTGTTCGCCTCCACGACGAGGGAGAGGGAAGTGCGCTGACCTAAGTTTTGCACACAAAGGAGGCGACGAAAGGAACCTTGCCATTGGAGGTTTCGCTAGCGAAGGAAGATTTACTGATGGAAGATGAGCCAAAAAGAAGGCTCAGCTAGGGAAGGAGGCCAAAAAGAGGTGATGCAGATGCAAATCACGAAAGGAGGCTAGAAGGTCAGATCTGGTCAGAAAGAAGTTTATGTTGGCCGGATCTGGTCGCTGGGGCTGAAGGAGACCGACGGAGTTTCACCGGCGAGGAAGGAGATAGAGAGCGAGGGACGACGGGCTAGGGAACGTGAAGGATACTTTCCGGCTGAAGGAGGAGTCTGCTGGCGTCGGGGAAGAAGGAGGCAGTCGGCGGTCAATGTGCGCCGGCGAGGCTCGCCTGCTAGAGAGGGAGCATGGCGTGAAGAGGGAGGTCGCGAGGTGAGCTTTCGCGAACGGGAGCAATCGACCGAAGGAGGAGGCACGTCAGGAGCAGCACCGGCGTCGAGGAAGGGGGTGGCGGTTGCCGTTCACCGATGAGGAAGCCGACCAATGAGTTTCAGGCGCGAGAGGATTCGGCGGCGGCTCTGTGTCGCGATCGGGAGACGAGGTCGCGAAAAAGGCAGAGAAAGGCAGGTGGTTTTTTTTAAAAAAAAAAGATGAATTTTTTTAATTATTTTTATAATAATAACAAATAATAATAATAATAATATTATTATTATTATTATTATTGTTATTATTATTATTAAATTCTCCACACATTTTTCATCAAATATGCCATCGCAACAAAATGAACGTCATTCTTAAGTAAAATCGACATTCT